AGAGTAGAGTAGAGTAGAGTAGAGTAGAATAGAATAGAATAGAATTTATTGTCATTGCACAAGCCTGTGCAACAAAATTGAACATAGAAAGACAAATAGGAAAACAGCAATATATGCAGTTTTGGAGGATTTTTACTTTTCTTGAGTCTCATTTTTATTTAAAAAAAACCTTTACATTTTAACATGCAAATAATACTTTTTATTTTTTTCTTTATTTGGCCATGTTTCAGTACGTCAGTATTTTTGAAAACACATACTCCAGTATGTTATCATGAGTTATAATTGGACAGAGCTACTTTTATTGGAGTAATATTTGACCAGCAGCAGTGGTGACCTTTGGTAGATTAGTGTACTTCAGATTGTGAGGATCGGTGTCTTGTGCCTCGTCTCCTTCTGGTGTCTGTTCTGTGTTCACACATTCATCCACCAAAGTTTCATTCATTCACRATATAACCAGTCCTTCTTCACCATTTCCTCATCCAATCATTGTTTGGTTTTGTCCCCTGGCTTCTTTCCGTGATCGTCTTCTCCCTGTAAGTTCTTGATTTGTGGCCTCGCTGGCTTTTGCTCTAATAAAGAGTTTTATATTTTACTCCTCAAGTCTGCATTTTTGAGTCTGACCCTGCCCCAAGCGCTGATACAGATGACTAATTAGAAAGGGTTAAAGTACAATTTCTTCTTCTTTTTAGTATTTTTTGCCTATAAAAARAGCAGAACTGTAAAATGGATTACATTATTCAATTAAATATGTGTTTTAAAAGACTTTTTGATTGTTTTATTCAAGACTAAAACACACATAATGTCAGACTAAATTATTTTTTAAATAAAAATTTAGCTCATTAATAATTTTCTTATTATTGTAAAGTTTTCTTATCATTATTAATGTTGACAAAATATGTACTGTTTCTATGGTCTCTTGTGCTTTGTTTTAATTTTCTTACTGTTTTARAGCACTTTGGACAATATCAATCCTTTTTAAACTTGAGTTTGAACTAAGAATAATGCACACAGCACAAATAAATTCTGTGTAAAAAGTAAGTAAACAATCGTGGCTCCAAACGCCCACTCTTGTTTTCAGTGACAACACTAGCATGCACACATGCACAATGCACACTGGCCTTCTGTACACACACCACCCACACACATACAGACAAGCACACACACAAACACAAGCAGAGGCCGAGTGGAATCTGAGAAATGTAAGTTGAATTTATTAGTGAGCATCAAACCATTGAAATTCCTCCCACATTTAATAGAAAATCCTAAACCCCTTAAAGGAACACTTATTAGATTAGAATCCATTTTGTGTGTTTAGTCACACATCAAACCATTTCATATGTTTACATTCAGGTTAAGTGAGCTTTAGAAGTGAACCACAACGTTAAAGCTTTAGAAAGAAAATCCAATGAAAAAAATAAAGGAGCACACTAAAAACTGCAAGGTTATTTTGATTACTTAAATCCTTAAAGTTGTAAATTGGGTTGGTTTGACCAAACATTGGGTCATAAAGTTTGACCCAGTGGTTGGGTTGGAGATGAGCTGTGTTGTTCTTCACAGTCTGCTATTTTAAATCTAAATTTGATTGGATTTCAGCTTTAGAATGTAATAAGCAAAGGTAAGGCAGTAAAAACAACTTTGCTCAGAACTTTAACCTGCTTGGGTATGGGGCGAAAAGTGTAAAATAAAATGTTAAAACATGTTTTTATTATTTAGCTCACTTGACATGTAAATTTCCACTTATTTTATTTTATTTTATTTTATTTTATTTTCGCAGGATTATGTCTTCATAAGATGAAGCACCAACAGCAGAGACATGTTCTATTCTGAAATACTTAAATGTAAACTTCAACATTTAATGACAAGTGAACTTTTACATCTAGATTTAGGATTTTATATTTAGACATAACATTTAAAATAAGCATTTAATTAAAATTAGCAAGGACATTGAGCTAAATAATAAAAGTTTTTAACTTTAAAAGTGTTAGCGACATTTTTATAAAACATTGCGTTTTACACTTGTTGCCCCKTATATGAGTTCCTAAAAAGCATTGGTTGGTGCTAGTTGACGTTTACATTGACCCAAATTGTAATTATCTACCAAGGCAATTTTCTTTTCAACTCAACATTTTAGTCATTTTAATCCAGTTTTGTGGTTACAAAAATCAGAACCCAACTTGTTGATATAAACCCTGCCCTGGTGAGTTATCTAAGGTTGGCTTGCTTCACATACGAATCAGGTCTGACTTACAAATTATTTTTAACGCAGCAGTTTTTTGTGTCGTAAATCTTTTGAAAGGACTGCAAGTAAAACTGGAAATGAAATCCTCACATAACAAAGAACCAAACATTTAGATTTCATTGGTTATGTCAATAATTATAGTTTCCATGAACTTGTGGTTGAATTTTTAAACTCGCACATCTAAAAAAAAAAGATCTCATACAAAAGATTTTTCCTGTTGCTTCCCCTCTCCTGCTGACCCTGCGTCTGTGCCAGCCTTCCCTGCTGCTCCAAAAACAGGCAGCGCTCTTTCTCCTGGAGCAGAGGAGCCGACATGCATCAGGGCTCCCCCCACCAGGAGCAGCAGGCTGGCCCCCCAGCCTAGGTACAACGCCGGCCCCAGTTCTCTCTTTAAAGGAGCTGCAACGTTTGGATCATAGAAGCTTCTGACTGTGGCGTAGGCGGTCCAACAGATGGGCAGCAAGTAGGCAAGGCCAGCTACAATGAAGAGTACCGCTGCTATCCTGGCGAGCCTAGCCTTGGAGCTCTGGCTGCTGGTGCCCATGCAGTGAGTGCACTTGGCCCCCAAGACCCCGAGAATGACAGCCAGCACACAGAGGAGCAGGGAGATGACGGTGAGGCCTCGAGCTGCTTGGGAAGACTTTGGAAGGGCCAAGGTGGAGTCATAGGTCTTACACTGGATGTGACCTGTGGTCTGAGAGAGACAGGTCATCCACAGGCCCTCCCACACCGCCTGTGCAATCACCAGCTCTCCACCTACGAAGGCAGAGACGCGCCACAGTGGAGCAGCGCACACCAGCGCCCCACACACCCAACCCAGCAGAGCCAGCACCAAGCCCATCAGCTGGAGACCTGTGGACGCCATCGTCGCTGACAAGACTTTCACCAGCAAAGAAGTAGAAAATCCTGTCGCCAAGCTTGTTTTTTGTCTTTTCCTTACTCAGCAATAAAGAGCCCTCCAGTAAATTAGTAATCATTCGATAGAATATCCAGTGTCATCTGATATCAGCTGGGTTTCTCTGCTTCTTTAACATATGCTGTAAGGAAAAATAAATCATCGTCAGAAAAACTTACTTCAAAATGACTCATAATTTTATCTCAGAGAAGCMAACTTACTTTTCAGTCAGACATCTGCACCCCTCTCAAGTGGCATGATGGGAGGACTGGTGTCTCTTCTGCTCTGACTAGGGAGCTTGTCTCACCAGATCTCATGCAGGCATGGTGTGGGTGGACAGCAGAGTACTACTGCATACTAAATACACGCACATACACAGCACAGTTACACAAAAGATAAAATGTCATTTCATGACAGCATGAGGACACTAGGGTACTTTGTTGCAGACATGGCTAACATATTCTCATCTCAAAGAGTTGGAATGAGCAGACCGAGACAAAGGCTAACGATGGAGTGATTGTAAGCTGCACATACCAACCAACATGATCCTGTAATTGGAAAATAAATGTGTTTCAAATCAAAAGTTTTATCTAAAATATCCACTGGTCACTTGTTTATGTGGTTTGGTCTGGTTGAGGATTCAGCATTATAACCACCAGATGGTGACAGAGCACTGAGCTGTAGGCTGTGACTCTTGTCACTGGATACTGCAAATTTTCAGTTTGGAAATACTTCATGGTATCATTGCCCAGAACAGAAAATACTTGTGATTAAAAAGCTAGTTTGTGCTCTTCTACAGACAATGCTTTGTCATTAAAGGGATCCCTGATTAGTTGTAACATTAGACTTTATATGATAAATATATACTTTAACTGCAAAATAAAGACTGCGTTTTTTATTAATACTAAATT